CCATCCATCCATCCATCCATCCATCCATCCATCCATCCATCCATCCATCCATCCATCCATCCATCCATCCATCCATCCATCCATCCATCCATCCATGGATGGATGGATGGATGGATGGATGGATGGATAATTTCTTTTATAAACTGCTGAACTCAAGTAATCATAAAAAACAACAGATTAAAGTACAATAATCTTTATTACAACTTCAATTAATCACAGCAGCTAATGAAATCCTTGCTGACTCCAGTCTTTTGTCATTGTGTCCCTGTTGGTTAGAGAACAGTGACATTCAGATTACTTCATGTAGTAAAACATGTGTCAACTGTTACTCTGAGTGGGTGGAGTTAAAGATCTTTGCCAGCAGAGACACATTTGATTGGCTCTTCTGCTGCAGGAGGCGGGTCTTGTCCAGGTGCCTCTGGGTATCAGAGTTTCTCTTTTTCCTTTTCTGAAACTCCTCCTCTGTTGGTCGCTGGGTAAAGTCCCATTTTTTCTCATCAACCTAAGAATAAACAAAAAAAAGTTTATCTACAGAAAAGGTTGAGTTTTTGGTTCCAGAAGGTCTTATGACTTCTACCAAGTGAGGGTCTTAACCCCACCATGCTGATGGCTCTGGTTGTTTGATTGTTCCTCCCGGTCAGGAGCAGATGGTTCCTGTGAGACCTTCCACAGAATGATCTACCTGGTCTGGTTCTCCTGGTACCTCCCACTGCCTCCTGTGGTACTGGGTCCTCCCAGACACACAGACTGAGGTCTGACTGTGATAACGACCTAACTGATCCCTAACCCAAAGAAGGAGATCACAGATCCAAGCAGCTGAAATGAGTTTCTTCTGCAGGGTGTCTGGGCTCTCCCTTAGAGATAGGCTGAGAAGCTCAGTCATCCAGGAGGGACTTAGAGTAGAGCCGCTGCTCCTCCACGTCCAGAGGAGCCAGTTGAGGTGGTTCATCTGGTTAGGATGCCTCCTGGACTCCTCCCTGGTGAGGTGTTCTGGCAGGTATTTAGCCAGAGGGGCGTCAGGGTGTCTTTAGGACGCCTTGGTCTGCTCTTCAGCACCTCGTGGATGTGTTTATATACAGATGTGAGGCTGCACTCGTCCACTGGTTTGTCCAGACCCTGGAGCTGCTCCAGTCAGGCTACAAACATCATGAAGCACCAACAGGAAAAGGAACGAGCACAACTTCTGGATTTTCACAGTAATTAACTCTAAGCAGATCAGTTTTGTTGAATCTCTTGTTATATTAATGAATTTACATAAATATTTATTCATAAATGCTGTCAAAATGTATCATTCTGTTTGGACATCTGATGGAAACATGCAGCGTGCAACATATGAGTTAAGGTTAGGGTTATATGGTGCATATATTACACACATAAAACAGGTGCATTTTATTTTGAAATTTAAAGTTTCATAAACAAATCGATGCAGTTTCATCTGTGTAGACTCGTTTACCACAGAATGGATTTGTTTGTCCTGATTTCTACATTTATCACTGGATTTATTGTGTGATCTCACATTTCCTGCACATGATTCTGTGAGCTGCTCGAACTACCGGACCGGACCGACCCGAACTGTCTGAACCGACCTACAGCTGAGACGCAGGTAAGATCAGGGTAGAAAACACAGCACGTGAAAGAAACTGGACAGATTATGATTATTATCAGAAATATAAGAAAAAAGCCCTGAAAATCAAAGGAAATCAGTTTTTATCAATGTAAACTGGACATGTCCTGTTTTTTGTCTACAGCCAAGGTAAGGTCATACTTTAACTGTTTATAGCTGTATTTTTAAACTTTTTAACAAGAAATCTTGTCTGACTTCAGCATGTGTAAAGTCAGACTGTAGTTTTATTATAAGGTACAGACAATCATTGTTAAATATCAAATAAAAAACGTTTGAAAGCAGAGGAGCTCAGTGCTGTAATGATTGAAAACAGCTCAGCTTCTACCTGCTGAATACTTTGTTTACAACTAAATAAAACTTAAAGTCCAGTACATGTTACTCAACAAATCTCTACATTTATCTGGTTTAAATCACTGGATCCTGTGAACAGCTGAGGAACATCACTGCTTTCTTTTCACACCAAATCAATGTGTTTGAGAAAATAAAAACTGTTGTGAATTCTACATTTTACTGCCAGTACCACTAATGCTTATTAACTTAGTGGGAGATGAGCTGTATTTATATTTGTACAGATAAATGTTAAATATTCACTGTTTTTCTTTTAGTTTAAAACCAAACGATGGAGCCGTCCCTCCTTCTGAGACCAGGGAAGATTCATGAAGTCTCTAAAACCTTTTCTTCATCTGAACCCTGTGATGATGATGATGATGATGATGGTGATGATGGTGATGAAGGCAGCTGGAAACAACCACCTGCAGCTGCATTTCAGTGCAAACACTCATGGATTTACAGAGGTTTTACTGGTTTTCTTTTTTTTTTTGGTTGTAGTATTTGCATTAATTAGCATGTTCAGACTTTCAGTGTTATTTCTAATGGTTACTGTGAATTAATATAAAGTTACTGTGAATTAATATAA